AGGAGTTAAGCAACTGTTGTGGGTGGCATCCTGCGAAAGGTCAGTGGCTGGCCTAGTGGGGGGGCAGGAGGAAACCTTTCACCTAATGCACCTATTCACCGTGTCCCCCATAGCTACCAACGTGACACAACAACCTTGAAGATCTGTGGCACTGCTACTGTTCTCTGATTAGCTCTATTGTAGAACTGTCAGAAGGCATCATTGGCACTCATTACAGCCTAACAACCGTCACTGGCACTCATTACAGCCTAACAACCGTCACTGGCACTCATTACAGCTTAACAACCGTCACTGGCACTCATTAAGGCCTCTAACAACCTGCATCCGTCATTTGAAGGACTTAAGACCACGCCCCTGTCAATGGCTCTCTCTCTCCTGCAGTGTTGGTAAGCCTGTGTGTTGGTGACGTCACTCATGACGGCCCGTGACGTCACTCGGGCGATGACGTCACTCATGGCGACCCGTGACGTCACTCATAACGGCCCGTGACGTCAGGCAGTGCGGTCGATGACGTCACACAATACGGGTCGACCCCCAGAGAGGATTAAGGGCGGGTGACTAACCCGTCTCCGGGTTGTAAGGTGTTAATTCATCTCGATAGACTCCAGCAACACGCGTTCGATCCCACAGCATTACCCCCTGATATGTTCTCAACCTTCTTAATGTCACGTTTGCTCGTACCTGATGCCTCTGTTCACCTGCCAGTAACTTGATAGCAGGGAGTCAGTCAACACATTGAAGACTGCAGTGATCCTAATTATGCCTAACTGGTAGAGCTATAGGCCTATTTAGCTCTGTTAGCTAAGCCTATTTAACTCTAATAATTTCTGTATCCCAAATTACCCACTGTAACATGTTAATATGTATATTGTATCGATCAAAATATGATTATAACAATAGCGGCAGCCACAGGTATAGTTTCCCCTCTTCCGTGCTCTAATGACCGTTTTCTTTAACAGCCTTGACTCCTGCCTCCCCCCGGAGGTTATCCGAGCGAGGTAGATACAAATACTAATTATTATTATCTAATGTAGATAAAGTAGATTTTTAGAACTTCTGGAGGTCAGAGCGAGATATTGGGCTCTCCTCTCATATAGAGATTTGTTGATTTTATCATCGTGCAGCCTGTTATCTAGACCATATTTTATCTTAGAATTATGTATTGTGGGGCCCCGAGTAGATCTAAGCTCTTGGGCCCAGTAGATCTAAGCTCTTGGGCCCAGTAGATCTAAGCTTCAATGGTTGTATTTTCAGTGAATCACTGACTTCTCAGACTATTTGGTCATACGGTTGTCTTTCATCCCTGCTTAGTGCCTTGTTTTGCACTGCTTGTAGTTCTTGCATGTTAGTAGCCTAAGGTATGTCTTGGTACTTGGAGGGTATTAGAGATAAGGGCGAGCTAGAGCCTAGTATAAGTGTAGCAGAATGTTCATGCCAAGGTTAGGGAATCATCTCAGGTTGCCTAAGGCTGTTTTTCCTTTGTATATGCTGTCATTGATGTGAATTTTGACTTTTGTTTTATTAGTCTATGAGTTCCGGCATTGTGTTTTAGGGAGGAGCGACGCTTGGAGGGGCGAATGGGTACAATTGGAGGTGGAGGGGGGGGGGAGGGAGGCTGAAGGGGTGATGATGGGGGGGCGTAGGAGGGGGGGAGGGGGGGCAGGAGGAGGAGATAACAGATAAGCCGATAAAAAGAAAAATGACACACTTATTTTTGTGACAATTATTTGTATTGCTTCTAAAACTTGATTTCATGTCAATAATTCCAGGTGTTCTTTTGAGAGAGAGAGAGAGAGAGAGAGAGAGAGAGAGAGAGAGAGAGAGAGAGAGAGAGAGAGAGAGAGAGAGAGGGAGAGGGAGAGGGAGTGAGTGAGTGAGTGAGTGAGAGAGTGAGTGAGTGCAGATAAAGTCGTGTGGGGTTGAGTGTGTGGTCCATAGTGATGATAGTGGTACCAAGAACCTTAGCACTGTACGTGGCCCACTTCCACCTAGCCCCACTAGACGTGTCCTAGTGTGCCACACACACACACACACACACCGGGCCTCCCGTGTCACAACAGGTGATTGCAATTTTCCTCAGTGCCAAATATAGTCATTATCAAGTGAGAATTAACTGTGCGTTGCGTGACGCTGCGCATTTGAGTGCACCGTCACTGCAAGAAGAACTGTGAAGGTGTTGCAACAGTGTAAGTAGACTCTCACTGTACACCAGGAAGTGTGGACCTGTAGATGTAATACTTGTCCTATCCTAAGAGTACATTTTTTATGTATTGTCCTGATTGTTTTCAATCAGGACAATATTAGGCTGTGTTGCTACCTTATTATATATCAAGGATTGTAGAGTATATAGTTCTAAAGCTACGAGTTCATCTATCCCCCATCTCACAGGATAGTTAGTCATACTATCAAGAGAGACCACGAGGCACGAGTCTAGTCAACTAGCCTCCACTAGCGAACTCTGGGTAGAACACAAGAATATCTTGCAATATTTGTGAGGGTATGAAGTAGTTAAGAGCTCAAAGAATCTCATACCACTTGGTCTAAAGTTATTGATAACACGACAATCCCAAATATATTGAGGGAGTGTGTCTCAGCTCTTAGGACATAGTTTACAATTTCGTTAAACAGATTCAATGTCTACAACTACCTGGTTTAAGTACCGATGTAAACAGCCTAATTCTGATAACAAGACTAACGCGCTGTAAAGCAGATGTGAGAGAGCGGATCTTATAGAAATATTTAAAATGTTGAACAAATTGGAGGATATTAATCCAGATAACTGCTTTGATAACTTCTTTGATGTACATACAAGGAGCAACAGCTTCAAGCTCAACAAGCCACAATGTAGGAGAGAAAATAACGTTAATAGATGAAAGTTTAATGGGACTGATTAGGCGTCGAGCTCAAAACTAACTAGGCTTGGTAAAATAATCATTGAGCTGGAATTTGGTATTTGTTGACAAAAAAGTATACATTACAAGACGAATATTTGAAGAACATCATTGTTTTGGGTAACTGATTTTCATGTCGGTGGCCGTAGAGAAAAATGAAACGGAGGTCGTTGAAATTGAGTTTATTGAGTTAAAATATACACAAAGGGATGAGGTAGCTCAAGCTATTCTCACCCCGTTCAGTACAACGTGTTCATACATATATAGACACACACATCACAAACAATAAACATATTACCGAAAAGTCTGAGAGATAAACATATACATTTATTCCTTAACACAAGACGGAGGTCATGGTAAGGTTTGGTGGAGAAGGAAGGCATACTTTCTGGGGATTTGGGGGTGTTGTTGATGTTGATCTGGGGAAGCATAATGTGTGAGGTGCTCTGTGGCTGGGGTGATGCTGGGGGAGGCGTCGTGTGGGTTTGGGGGAGAAAGTGATATATTTTGACTTTTTCTCTGGGGCGGCTGAAGCCTCGCCACCGTGTTTTTTTGTCCTCCTTTCCGGTGTTGGGCAGAATATAGCTCTTGCTTGTGTTCAGCTGACCTGTTATTCTCAGAGGCGTGTTTGTGTATACATTCCTAAGCTGCTCAACCCCCTTCTGTAAATCTGGGTACGTTTACACGTGAAATTTACATTTTTATTTTGGTACGCTAGGCTTGGAAAATTGCGCTGCATTTCCATCCTTTTTTGTTGTGTGATTTGAAGTTAGTTGGCAGTCCTTCGAGAACTTAATTTGGTTTTCTGCAGAACTCTATAAGACGTTTGTATGAACAAATTTAAAAGTTATTATAAGACTTATAAAAAAAAACTTATAGACACGTCTATAAGACTTTTCTTGGTGATTTAATTAGGGTTTTCCATAGAACTCGATAAAAAATATTTGTGATGTCCATTAGAACCCATGTACAGACGAGGAGTCACAATAACGTGGCTGAAGATATCATGACCACACCACACATCAGAAAATATAGAAACGACAGCAACTTCTCCCGACTTGATAATGATCCAGGACGGACAGAAACGTCGCCTTCATCTTCTGATGTTTGGCTTGGTCGGCTGGGGCCAGATTCACGAAAGTACTTACGCAAGCACTTACGAACGTGTACATCTTTCCTCAATCTTTGACGGCTTTGGTTACATTTATTAAACAGTTTACAAGCATGAAAACTTGCCAATCAACTGTTGTTATTGTTATAAACAGCCTCCTGGTGCTTCGGAGCTCATTAACTGCTTAATAATTGTAAACAAAGCCGTCAAAGATTGAGAAAAGATGTACAGGTTCGTAAGTGTTTGCGTAAGTGCTTTCGTGAATCTGGCCCCAGGACCCGTGTACATGGGTTCTGCTACATCCTTGAACTATTATACCTGTTTCAAGCTGTGTATGGACCTGTTGCCAGCATCTATAGTTCCTCAGCTGGTGCCATTTCTTAACTACCATTACAGTGAAGCTGGGTGTTCACCTTCGTCTCTGTATCCCCCTTTCTTCTAGTATCCATGTGTACAGTCTGTCACCCATCATCTGTATCTTGAAGTATTCATGCACTGAGTGATAAGGCCTTATCTGACTTTATCATAATGACCCCTGAAACAATGTAGAGAGTTAGATTCGACTAGCTCTCCTTTCAAGCGCGTTTCATTGGCTTAATATTTGCACTGAAGAAGTGCTTCTTTACGTCCCTCTGACCCCTCTAAGATTCTAATCCCCCCCTCCCCCCCCCCCGATCTTTTGTCCAGCAAGTCGAAATGTTGAAGATTATGTTCTTGTCCACACTGTGCTGCTAAGATTCTTGTCTGTTCTGTCCTTTTCCCTTCTCTCCTCGTCTTAAGGGTCCAAGACCAGTTTCTAAGACTGGTCCTAGAACCATCGTTGGAATAAAAAAAAAAATCTCTAATATTTAAACCATTATCGCCTGTTAAATTTGATTTTGGATTATTAAGAATTAAATCACTATAGTAATAATATGAATTTTAATAGTTAAATATTATTTGTTGTAGTGTGGAATATATAATATTATTATTGTCTAAAGTGTTGGCATTTATTCCAGTGAGATTGGGCGCTCTGTAGGCGCATTCGGCCAGCGCCTGCTGACCTCTAGTGACAAGCAGTGACCCCCTGGTGACCCCTGGTGACCCCAGGTGACCCCTGGTGACCCCTGGTGACCCCCTAGGACCCCAGGTGACCAGACACGATGGAACGCAACATCCCACACGTCTTAGACGTCTTCACGTGTTCTCCCAGAGCAAGGCGCCGTAGCCATGCTACGGAAATCAACCAGGTGAGAAGTGGTGGTGGTGGTGGTAGTTGTGGTGGTGATACGAGTAGGTCAAATATTTCCCTAAGTGACTGGCCACCATTTCTTCCTGTCCATCCTATACCTTAAAGCCTCATCCACATATTTCCCATATCCGTGTGCTGTACAGTCGGAGTGGCTTTGCGCTTTCTCCTGATAATTTCTTTACCTTATCTTACCTATCAGTGACTACGGGGGCGTGAGCTCTAGCTCCTGGTGTCCCGCCTTAACTTGCATCATGTCTTGCTTGGTTGGCAACTTTGCACGCCCATATCTAACCTACTCAAGTTATCTAGAAATATTTATAAAACTTATATACAAAGCAGCTTTACTTCTTTTCAACTAAATATATTATACTTAGTCTGTAATTGTATACAAATATGCGCTATTTTATGTTTAAGTATATTTCGCTAAATAACAATAAAATCCTGAGCATATTTACCTGCCCGTTATATCTTATGATTATATTTTTAAATATATTTCAAGTGCTTATCATATTTAGTGGCCTTGTACACATATAACCATATTATATATATATATTATATATATATATATATATATATATATATATATATATATATATATATATATATATATATATATATATATATATTTGTTAAAGATTGTTCAATTTTATTCTATAAGACATTATATATGCATTGTGTCAACAGCCATATATAGGTTCCAATTTAAAAAGAAGGAATTAGATTAACAATTCTGTTAATGGTAAGTTTAGTTAATTTTTTAAGTTAAGATTAGTCAATTTTCACCTTTGATGCATTTCAGTAAAACGTGAGAGTCCAGTGTGTGTGTATACTCACCTATTTGTACTCACCTATTTGTGCTTGCGGGGGTTGACCTCTGGCTCTTTGGTCCCGCCTCTCCAAGGTTCCTGAGCCTATTGGGCTCTATTATATCTACACTTGAAACTGTGTATGGAGTCAACCTCCACCACATTACTTCCTAATGCATTCCATTTGTCTACTACTCTGACACTAAAAAAATTCTTTCTAATATCTCTGTGGCTCATTTGGGCACTCAGTTTCCACCTGTGTCCCCTAGTGTGGCTGTCCCTTGTGTTAAATAGCCCGTCTTTATCTACCCTATCAATTCCTCTGAGAATCTTGTACGTGGTGATCATATCATGTGTGTGTTTGTGCCACAGAAGTAATTATCTCTGTCACAACAGGTTGCAGCACAGCAGAAGGATGCAGACCTGGCACAGAAGAACCCGGGCAACGACTCCGCTGTGTCTGTGGGCTCGAGCGACGAGGACGAGGCCAATATCTCCAAGTACTTCGACTACCTAAATGAGGATGATCCTGGCAGCGGCAGCGCCTCCAAGAGGAAGAAGAAGAAGAAGAGTCTAGGGAAGGAAAACCAGGACAATGAAAGTCAGGGGAAGGACAACAAAGAGGACAACAAAGGGAAAGAGAAGCAGGGAAACGACAAACCATCAGAGAGAAGTAGCCGTAAGGGGGAGTACGAAAAGGACATGAGGCACATCGAACGCCACCTCTCCATGAAGAAGACCATTCGCAAGAAGATGATGCGCGATCTCCAGCAGGCCTTCGTTGAAGATCCCGGAGAGTTTCAGCAGGACCCGAACCGTATGACCCCGGAGAAGAAGAACAACATCGATATACGAAATCTGACTTTCTCCAAAAGTAGGCTCTCTAAATCAGAGCACAATTTTCTGGATATGCTTAAAGATGAATCGCCGAAGGACAAGGACAAGAAGGATCGCAAGGGAATCCTAGGATATAGAGATTTAATGAAAAACAACAAAAATAAAGAATCGAATGACGAACTCAAGGATGACGACTCCGGCAATGGGTCCCCGACGCGGGACTCTCCGAAGAAGGCCGTGAGCAAGGAGGACTTGATAGACACGAAGGATCCTGCCAAGGAAGAGAAAAAAGTCGGATTTTGGAAGAAATTAACCGGGAAGGGGAAGAGTAAGCGGTAAAAGGTCCAGCAGACTGTTCCCCTAACTGCCCCCGTAATAACTGACTGTGATAGCGTTCCTGTGCCTACTGCAGTAGCAGCCACTCTCCTTACCTTAAGCTCTCCTGTCCTTGTATCGGGTCGTGCCTGTGTCGTCCCTTGTTGTATGGGTCGTTCCTGGGTCGTTCTTTTGTGGTCTTAACCATCAGCTGTCAAGACCAGTGTGTTGCCTCAGTCATTCTTCTCCAGTTCTTTATTTAACCTCTTGTTCGTGTTCACATTCTCGTACGTCGGCACTTGTACTGTCAGCTTTATTTCCTCTTGTATCTTTATTATCGGCCGCATTCAATACAGATATATGGTATTGAATATACTTTTTTTACATCTTTATTCTCAGACATAGTGTAGTGTCTCTACTCTGACATATTGTAGTGCCTCTACTCTCAGATATAGTGTAGTGCCTCTACTCTCAGAAATAATATAGTGCCTCTACTCTCAGATATAGTGTAGTGCCTCTACTCTGACATACTGTAGTGCCTCTTCACTCTCAGACATACTGTATTGTCTCTTTACTGTGACCTACTTTACTGCCTATTTATTCTGACATACTCTTGTGCCTCTTGTCTGCAGCATACCATAGTCTCTTTACTCCAGCATAGTGTAAAAGGCCTCTTTATTGACATACTCTAGTGCCTCTACCCTGACATACCATACCGCCTTAACTTTCATAGTGCAATATTATTTTCACATCTGTTTCTCAACTTTTTCACTACAACGGATTTTGTTCTCCTTCAAGTCTTCCAAATTGCAGACCTCATAATTGTGCAGCTTAAGATGAACCTCGTATGTGTATGTTTATGTAAAAAATTAGTGATGTGTATATACAGTAGGCCTAAGTGTATTATAGAGGGAGATGCAGTGGCCCATTATGTTCACATTTGATAAGTTAAGCTTGTAATATGTAATATGTATACCCCCCACAATTTTTAATGTTGTATTATGTGTATGTATTCCCCACAAGTATACTATATATTACCATTCTGGTGGTTTTGGTGGTGATTATTTTAAAGCCGATTTTTACATGAATTATCTGGCATTGATGACCAGACCACACACTAGAAATTGAAGGGACGACGACGTTTCGGTCCGTCCTGGACCATTCTCAAGTCGATTCATCCACAATCGACTTGAGAATGGTCCAGGACGGACCGAAACGTCGTCGTCCCTTCAATTTCTAGTGTGTGGTCTGGTCAACATACTTCAGCCACGTTATTGTGACTCATCGCCTGCATCTGGCATTGATATGACGTGTGTAATTGTATTCGTTGTTTATTTAGTGTTTGGTAAATATATATATTTTTTTTGGCCTGAGTCTACCTGAGAGGCAACATCTCTAGTGGCATTGACGGGTGCAGGAAGCTGGCGGCTTGTCAGAGGTGCCCTCCCCAATGTTCCTGAGGGGGATTTTCCAGATGATTTATACAAATGGAGATTATACGACAGCGTGTTACATCTATTCAACATTTATGATCACTTCATAAGAGTTGTTATGGGTGTTTATAGAAATGTTTGGCTGTAAGTTGCCTTATTATTAACTATAACTGTCTCAAGTGTATGGCTGATATATAGCATTTATCATGTTTAATTTGAGTTGTTAAATAAAACATTCAGGGGTCAAAGAGAGTAGAGTATGATTTGCAAATAGATTAAACCAATTGAAGTGTGAGAAACCTAGATTAAGGTAAAAACAATTTTTTTTAGAAGGTTCTATAATTTTGAGAAATCTGAGATGCCCTAACCATTGATTGTGTAATTGTGTTTTAACTTTTCTGGGAGGTCTCGTATCCATTGGCATAGCAGCAAAGTTGTCGCGTATCCACTGGCATATTGACAAAGCTGTCTCGTATCCACTGGCATGTTGACAAAGTTGTCTCGTATCCACTGGCATATTGACAAAGTTGTCTCGTATCCACTGGCATATTGACAAAGTTGTCTCGTATCCACTGGCATATTGACAAAGTTGTCTCGTATCCACTGGCATGTTGACAAAGTTATCTCGTATCCACTGGCATGTTGACAAAGCTGTCTCGTATCCACTGGCATGTTGACAAAGTTGTCTCGTATCCACTGGCATATTGACAAAGTTGTCTCGTATCCACTGGCATGTTGACAAAGTTGTCTCATATCCACTGGCATATTGACAAAGTTGTCTCGTATCCACTGGCATGTTGACAAAGTTGTCTCATATCCACTGGCATGTTGACAAAGTTATCTCGTATCCACTGGCATGTTAACAAAGTTGTCTCGTATCCATTGGCATATTGACAAAGTTGTCTCGTATCCACTGGCATGTTGACAAAGTTGTCTCATATCCCCTGGCATGTTGACAAAGTTATCTCGTATCCACTGGCATGTTGACAAAGTTATCTCGTATCCACTGGCATATTGACAAAGATTCAGGTCGTCTCTTGTGAAAGTCAAACTCTTAATACTGATCTAGTGGTTCAGAAAGCCAAGAAATATATTGAATAAAACACTACCAGTTACTCTAAAACAGGGGTCATAATGCAGAGGGGGGAAACATTTGGGCATGTTTCCTTTCACCTGATGTTCCTGTTCACCTAGCAGCAAATAGTCACCCAGGAGTTGGGCAACTGTTGCGGGGGTTGCATCCTGGGAAAGGCCATTAGTTGGCCTAAGGGGACCTCGATAGGCATAAATAGAATTCCTCTAAGGGAAACTGTACAGCTCCTGTATCAATATTATGACGCTAATGTGTATGTTGCTTGACATGTTGCAAATGCTGTATACTGACTTATTTGTTGAATGAAATGAATAGTGAATAGATTCAAGTGGGCCTGCGTGCTGCTAATAGCAACAGCATGTTGGACCAAGTTGTCACAAGCTTTCATGATGTTATAAGGGTGTTTCATAGTGTAACAGTGATGGCTGGTGGGCTGGCATCGCGGGACCTGGCTAACTAACAGGTTCCAGCTCTTGGCCCTCAGAAACTGGGCATAATATTGTCATTCACATCTCTGTGCTCCTTACATGTAAAAGGACATTCTCTGTAGACAGAACACAGGCAGAACCTGCAGGCAACACTGGTGTACAGAACACTAGCCGAGGACCGTCCGAGGACTAGCCGAGGACCGTCCGAGGACCAGCCGAGGACCAGCCGAGGACCAGCCGAAGACCAGCCGAAGACCAGCCGAAGACCAGCCTTCAGTCCCTCATTCCACGATTGTTTAAGGAAATCGCTTCTCCAGAACCTTATAGATCATAACAAATGAACAACAAGAAGCAGGAACAGTAATCTGTCAGGAGCTCCTGGAGGAAGAGAGACCACATTAACCAATACATCACTCACTATCAAGCTACCTCACCAGCACATCAATCACTGTTAAGTTGCTTGGAATACATATATCTTCCCCTTGACTAGTTATTCCATAAACATATTCTGTCGCATTCCTTTCCCCAAAATATTTATATATTGGGAGCGTAAATAAGAGGAGAAAAACAATAACATATCAGCCTAAGCTTTGTTTTTAACCCTTATTTTTTATTTTCATTATATTTGAATGCTATTATATCGCTGCATCATACACTCTTCCACGTGACATTAACGGTAGTCATTGTACCATATGGCAAGAGTCACTGTACCACGTGACATGCCACAACAGTAGTCACTGTACCCGTGGCATCACAACAGTAGTCACTGTACCACGTGCCACAACAGTAGTCACTGTACCCGTGGCATCACAACAGTAGTCACTGTACCACGTGCCACAACAGTAGTCACTGTACCCGTGGCATCACAACAGTAGCCACTGTACCACATGCCACAACAGTAGTCACTGTACCCGTGGCATCACAACAGTAGTCACTGTACCACGTGCCACAACAGTAGTCACTGTACCCGTGGCATCACAACAGTAGCCACTGTACCACATGCCACAACAGTAGTCACTGTACCCGTGGCATCACAACAGTAGTCACTGTACCACGTGCCACAACAGTAGTCACTGTACCACGTGCCACAACAGTAGTCACTGTACCCGTGGCATCACAACAGTAGCCAACGGTACTGTGCTTGTGAACCAATTTTGTTCTATATTACCTACCATAACGCATGTAAACATTAGAACCCTCGAGTCATCTTAATGTCAACCCAATTTCACCTCTGGAAAACGCTCTAGTAATTATAGTTTTCCTTTCAGGAAGCTTATGAAGAATTTCGACAAAACTAATAAAAATGGAGATCACATTGAAATAAAAATGAAAATAATAGTAATAAAAAACAATATCATATTTATTCTGATCATATCGCCCTTTATCAATACATTGAGACAGTTTTAACATGAGTTTTAGCCTATTGGTCATCAGTGAAATGTTGGAATAGAAACGATTAAAAGTCATCATCATCAAATATTCTATTGTAAACGTTTATTTGGGATTTAGACGTAATGAAAAAGATGTATCCTTAGTGTTGGACAAACTCTGAAACTTGAGGAATAGGCTAAAATCTCATAAAAAAAATTCTAAAACCATTTTCTATCTATTAGACTAGAACGCTTCATAGTGTATGCCCGGCTTGGCGCCTCTTTTGTTAACGACTTTCTTCTAAAACTAGTAATTATTTGTCTTTGTCTCTGCCGCAATATGGCCTTCTTTTATGGGACTTGATTTTCTGGATTAAGTTCGTATAGAAATGATTGTGATCAATGGTTGTAATGTTTGTAATCACATTTTGACGCAGAGTTACCTAAGAATTCATTCCATTTTAGCATTGTTGTGTTACACACTATCAATTATATTCACTATTTATAGTGACTTTGAGTCATTCATTACTTTGCTGACATCTTTTTGAGACATTAAAAATCACATTTTTTTGTGAGGGCAAGCAAATGTAAATGTATAATTCCATTAGGCCTACATTCATATATTCTCTATTTAAAGCTTATATTTAGTATACAACTTTACGACTTGGGCGGTGAAAACAATGATATACTAACAGTGATTCACTATGTTCACTGGTCGGTACAACGATAGCCTTGCTTCTTGCAAGGTCGGTGTTCGATCCCCGAGGGTCCACTTCTACATCCTCAGGCTCCTTCCTAGTGTTGTATAACAATACTGGCATGGCGCTTTTTTTCCTAATAATTATCTTACCTGTTGTCACGCAACTTGACAAATACTTTGATTATCAACCATTTTGTACTGAGGTATAACTTGAAAATAGGCTTCCTGGACATATATTAATCATCTATTTTCCCCCAGGTTTAAATTCAAAATATACTTCCTGTATTTGCATTCAAGATATATATACCTCCTGCATTTACATATAAGATATACTTCTCGTATATACATTCAAAATATGTTTCCTACTATACATTCAAAATGTACTTCCTGGTTATACATTACAAATATACATCCCAGGTATACTCAAAATATACTCCCCAGTTAATTCAAAATATACTTCTCAGGTATATGCATTTATAACGTACTTAATTGCCAGGTACACATTCAAAATACACATCCTAGGAAGCATAAATATATATATATATATATATATATATATATATATATATATATATATATATATATATATATATATATATATATATATATATAAAACACTATACACTATAGCAGGTTGCTGGTGGCGCCACTAACACTGTACAGAAATGTTGACACAAGCACCAATATAGTGAGAGGAGCAGACACAGTTATCCAGTCTTAGTGTACTACGGGCTCACCATAGCCCGTGCTACTTGGATTTTTTGTTCCAAGTTAATGGGGAATATAATGCGTGTGTGTGAGAGAGATGTTGCTTTTTCAAATGTGTATTTTTGCCATTGTATTATTTAAAAATAAAATAATAAAACATATTGTAGTTCTTAACCTAAACCGATATTTTCAGCACATACAAATTTGGAACCGTCCGTCCTCAAGATTTGCTAAATCGTTAAAAAATACAACTATTTTATCTAACCAGGAACATACTAACCTAAGCAACCCACCTAACCTATCGAGGCC